GTATATATCTCAAAAAAAAAAAAAAAAAGGAGCGGGGCTGTAACTTTTTGCAGTTCCCCCTTCCGTGTCCCCGTTTTCTACCCATTCCCTCTCCTCACCCAATACTCCTCTTCACTTCCTTCTTACTTATTTCTTCCTCACTCTGCCTTTCTTCCCACCATTAGGAGTGGTAGAGAGGGCAGAACATAACTGGTGGTAGAGGGTGGTAGGCTCACCAGACCACACACTAGAAGGTGAAGGGACGACGACGTTTCGGTCCGTCCTGGACCATTCTCAAGTCGATGGTAGGTTGTTTCGTTCATTCATGTGCTCAATAAACGCTCTTTGGAAAGACAATACCAATATTAGATATAGATAAGTAAGCTGGGGGCACGAACAATCTTTCTCGCGATTTAAAAAGTCTACAATAAAAGTATGCGAGCATATGAGTCATTCTATAGTTAGATGAAGAGAGAATGAAGGGGGTATTAAATGGGGTATTAATAGGGTCTTTTGCAGTGTTATATATTTAACATGATTGAAGGGTATAAGTGGATAAATGGTTAAGAAAAGGGGTATTAATTAGGATATTTTATTATACGTTAGATAAGACATGAGTAACTACCAGTGTGTGTACATTGTGCTAATTCCTTACTTCTTTTGTATAGGCCTTCTGTAGTATATTACATTTCATTGCATTCGTTAATGATTGGCCCCAACATGGGTGGAAATATATAGGGGATGCTGTATGGCGTCTCAAAAAAAAAGGCCTCCTACAGTTTCATGCTTATATTTAATTAACAATCCTTTAACCAGAAATAATCTGTGAACATAGGATTAAATATTAAATTTGTGAAAATGGGATTAAATACCTAACCACAGAAAATGGAGTTAAATATGTAATTACAGAAAACGGACTTATTGAGGAAGTTGAGGACTAGCTGACTAATGATTATCACAGACGGACAGGGCTAGCTGTACCTGTGTGTATTACCAAGGTGAGCAAGTTTACGGATGACGAGAGACGGCCATTTAATCTCCTTGGGAAATTCTAGTGTGCCAGAAGTTTACAGTTTAATCACTTTGGAGAAAAAATAGTAAGAGAGGGAAGGGAGCTGTTTAATCCCCCATGGAAAAAGTTAGCGTGCCAATTCGGTACAGTCACAGAAACCGACCCAAAATATATATGCGCCAATTCGGTACATTCACAGAGGATGACTGAACAAAAACATATATGTGCTCCAATTCGAAGCCGTCATGGATTCATGAAAAAAAAGCCTCAATTCGGTGCAGTCGGAAAAATGAAAATTGCACCGTATTAATTGGGACCATTTCCACTACTACTAACCCCCTTCTTGACATCCGTTACCTGGACACCACTAACCACTCTAGGCACCAGTTAACTGGACACCACTAACCACTCTGGACACCCGTTACCTGGTGTGACGGTATCCCATCCTACATCTTTCCTATTCCGGCATAGAGTCATATCTGAACAAATGAACAAATCCACAATGGCCGTGGCGAAGGTTTGTTCATTTGATGCATCACGCTTTTGTGATTTCTGTGTAATAGCGTCATATATCTCTTCAACCTGCACCTTCTCTGATGCTCAGGGAACATTTCGATATATATAAAGGTATTTAAAATTATTATATGTGAGGTGAATTTGCCTATTTAGTTTTGGTATGCAGGTGGCTTACGTCCTTTAGTATCACAAAATGGCGCCGGGGTGAAGATGTTCCCGCCAAAGTAGCCTGACGCCAGCGGCCTGGTGATTGGCCAGTTAAGGTCAAGTGACCGGATTGACTAATAGCGCTGTGCCCTTGGGCGGTGTGACGTCACAGTGCGGAAGGATCCGTCGTGCCGTCGTCGTCGTGCCGGTCCGTCGTCCGATGCCCTGCGGCGCTCAGAGAGTCACGGCCCATCATTGAGCGCGGACACGCTCAAGTGAGCTCCCAGTTTGAAGGCTAGGAAGCTCCAGCCAGTGAATCCAAGCAGCCGTATTGATACCACAGACGTCGAGGAAGATTAGTTGACTCCTGGGGAGTACATGGAAGCCGGGCTCAGTTGGTGTTAGAGCGCCAAGAGCGCTTTGCTGATAGTCTGTGGCGGAGGTGAACGTTGGCGGTGGGTCGTGTGGACGGCCAGCGGGCCGCCTTCACACACACCAAGCGAGCTGCTGTGACCGGGTCAAGTCCACTGGAAAATCAAGAAGGGAACACCGAACCTGACTGCAATAAGTTTGTCTACAGTTCCAGTGTGAGAGGAGGAAGACGACGTGCGCAGGGACCTGCCATCAGTGCCAAGGAGGACGAGGACCTGCCATCAGTGCCAAGGAGGACGAGGACCTGCCATCAGTGCCAAGGAGGACGAGGACCTGCCATCAGTGCCAAGGAGGACGAGGACCTGCCATCAGTGCCAAGGAGGACGAGGACCTGCCATCAGTGCCAAGGAGGACGAGGACCTGCCATCAGTGCCAAGGAGGACGAGGACCTGCCATCAGTGCCAAGGAGGACGAGGACCTGCCATCAGTGCCAAGGAGGACGAGGACCTGCCATCAGTGCCAAGGAGGACGAGGACCTGCCTTCAGGGAGTGAGCACGGAGAGGACGCGCCTCTACAAGTCACATAAAGACCTTGTGTGTGCCGGACCTTGATCAACAGAGCACCGACCACCAGGACAGGGAACCTCAGCAACCATCGCCAGAGGAAATGTCGACTTTGTAGCAGAGAGAATTAAGGTAGATAAATTCCCTCCCATTTCCCCTTGGTCTAGGTGAGCTGGAGTATCATTCATGTCGTGATCATTGTCTTTACTATCACTTCCAGTGTGGTAGGATTAGGCTATGTACCAGGTTATACATATATACATGAGCTAATTTATGTGTGTGGGTATAGTGACATTATGTGGCAACTAGAGGAAGTGACTGGTTTCAAGAGGAGTGAAGCATTTAAATCGTCCAGGTGACTGTGTTGCCAGAGGCGGAGTGAGGAGTGCTGCCGCCGTCTACATCTATTATTTACCTTGCGGATTCACTGTAGTTTCCTCCAGTAAACTTATCATTACTTTTACCATTGTGTTTGAGTGAGCCTTCCATCTCTAGGGCGAGTTGAGTCAATTATTTAATATTGCCCTGCATTATATCTGGCACTGAGTCCCTGGCTTATAATGATTAACAAGACCACTGAGAGGTGTTGCTGGGACGCGAATACAGGTACCCAGCTGGCGACCTTGACTGAGGGATGAAGTGGCAGGAATTCACCTCTGTTTTCCCAGTGTTGCGGCGGCCAAATTTCAGCCGGGAGCGACAGAGGTAAGGCTGGATTTCCCCACTCGCCATGGGTGTACGGCCGTGACCGGAGTAGTGTCGCAGCCTGTGGTAGACTGGGGGGGGGGGGTTCCGGATTACTAAGAATAATTCATAATGGGAAAAAAAACCGTCCTCAGATCAAGTCCATTCCATCCAGCTGTCGACCCCGAAGACACATTCATCAATTTAACACGCTGTTCATTCAAAATTGGAATTTTCTCAAACATCAATTAATAGTGATATATATTAGCATACTGTGCATATTTAGGCATTGGTTAGGTTAGGTTAGATGTTAAGGTTCGGTATTTGTATTTGTAGTACATGAAAGAAGCATTTCGAAGCCCTATCCCGAAACGCTATGCGTACTAGTGGCTTTAGGTATTGTATGTACTCCCTCTATCTTTAAATCAAACAGAATGTTTGTACTGTAACGCTGCAACTATGTATATACTGTTGCTAAATAAATTATTATTATTATTATTATTATTATTATTATTATTATTATTATTATTATTATTATTATTATTATTATTATTATTATTATTATCATTTACAGCGTTGTGGTTCGAACAAAAGTCGTCAGTGAAGCACTTATTAGGGAGGTATTCGAAGGTCATCAGTTGTGAGTCGTGTGTAAACCGTTTTTCATTCATAAACAGTGGGGGGGGTTTGGCGGGTGGATGGAATAGACTTTGGCTCTTGTTTCTGATGACAGGCTGCACAACCCGTCCTCATACACAAAGGGATTAACGAGCATTTGGCCTTCATTGATAAGAACGAGCTGCTAACTCGGGCTCCTGGCCTCCGACTCCCGAACACTGTTCTCGCAGCCATATGATACATCTGTGTACTCACCTAGTTGTGCTTGCGGGGGTTGAGCTTTGACTCTTTGGTCCCGCCTCTCAACTGTCAATCAACTGGTGTACAGGTTCCTGAGCCTACTGGGCTCTATCATATCTACACTTGAAACTGTGTATGGAGTCAGCCTCCACCACATCACTGCCTAATGCATTCCATCCGTTAACTACTCTGACACTGAAAAATTATTTCTATTGTTTCTGTGGCTCATCTGGGTACTCAATTTCCACATGTGTCCTTCTGTCCGGGTTCCACCCGTGCTAAATAGTTTGTTTTTGTCCACCCTGTTAATTCCCCTGAGAATTTTGTAGGTGGTGATCATGTCTCTCTTTACTCTTCTGTCTTCCAGCGACGTGAGGTTTAGCTCTCGCAGCCTTTCCTCGTAGTTCAAACCGCTCTGTTCTGGGACTAGTTTGGTGACATACCTCTGACTCTTCTCTAACTTTGTTTTGTGGTTAACTAGGTATGAACTCCAGGCTGGAGCTGCATACTTCAGGATTGGTCTGACATACGTGGCATACAAGATTCCGAATGATTCCTTACACAAGTGTGTGAGTGTGTTTGTTTGAGAGTAAAAATGTGTGTGGGAGTGAGTGTCCCTGTGTGTGTGTATGTGTGAATTGGTGAATGACAGTGTGCGGGTGAGTTGTGTGAAACAAGGGGGGGGGGGAGGGAAGGGTGTTATGTGTCTGGGGATGGGGGGGGGTGGGGGGGTGAGGATGGTGTGCATGTTTGGGAGGGTGGCCGGTGAAGGGGGCTCAGTGTGGTGTCACCGGTGAAGGAGAGACGGTCGGGGGTGTCTCCCGGAAGACAGTCTAGCGTGCAGGCAGGTGGCGGCTGACCGCGTAACATATCTGTGCGCTGCGCATGTCAACGTCGTCCAGTAGGTTGCTGGGGTGAGCTGAGACCAGCGCTCAGCACAGGACCCTCTTCACAGGAACCTCTTCACAGGAACCTCTTCACTGGAACCTCTTCACAGGAACCTCTTCACAGGAGCCTCTTCACAGGAACCTCTTCACAGGAACCTCTTCACAAGAGCCTCTTCACAGGAACCTCTTCACAGGAGCCTCTTCACAGGAGCCTCTTCACAGGAGCCTCTTCACAGGAACCTCTTCACAGGAACCTCTTCACAGGAGCCTCTTCACAGGAACCTCTTCACAGGAACCTCTTCACAGGAGCCTCTTCACAGGAACCTCTTCACAGGAACCTCTTCACAAGAGCCTCTTCACAGGAACCTCTTCACAGGAGCCTCTTCACAGGAACCTCTTCACAGGAACCTCTTCACAGGAGCCTCTTCACAGGAGCCTCTTCACAGGAACCTCTTCACAGGAACCTCTTCACAGGAACCTCTTCACAGGAACCTCTTCACAGGAACCTCTTCACAGGAGCCTCTTCACAGGAACCTCTTCACAGGAACGTCTTCACAAGAGCCTCTTCACAGGAGCCTCTTCACAGGAACGTCTTCACAGGAACCTCTTCACAGGAGCCTCTTCACAGGAACCTCTTCACAGGAACCTCTTCACAGGAACCTCTTCACAGGAGCCTCTTCACTGGAACCTCTTCACAGGAACCTCTTCACAGGAACGTCTTCACAAGAGCCTCTTCACAGGAACCTCTTCACAGGAACGTCTTCACAGGAACCTCTTCACAGGAACCTCTTCACAAGAGCCTCTTCACAGGAACCTCTTCACAGGAACCTCTTCACAGGAACCTCTTCACAAGAGCCTCTTCACAGGAGCCTCTTCACAGGAACCTCTTCACAGGAACCTCTTCACAGGAACCTCTTCACAGGAGCCTCTTCACAGGAACCTCTTCACAGGAACCTCTTCACAGGAGCCTCTTCACAGGAGCCTCTTTACAGGAACCTCTTCACAGGAACCTCTTCACAGGAGCCTCTTCACAGGAGCCTCTTCACAGGAACCTCTTCACAGGAACCTCTTCACAAGAGCCTCTTCACAGGAGCCTCTTCACAGGAACCTCTTCACAGGAACCTCTTCACAGGAGCCTCTTCACAGGAGCCTCTTTACAGGAACCTCTTTACAGGAGCCTCTTTACAGGAACCTCTTTACAGGAGCCTCTTCACAGGAGCCTCTTCACAGGAACCTCTTCACAGGAACCTCTTTACAGGAACCTCTTCACAGGACCCTCTTCACAGGAACCTCTTCACAGGAACGTCTTCACAGGAACCTCTTCACAGGAACCTCTTCACAGGAACCACTTCACAGGAACCTCTTCACAGGACCCTCTTCATAGGACCCTCTTCACCTGGACCTGCCACAGTAGTCCACGTCCTCGTCGCTACGGTAAACTTAAAATGAAACAATGAATAATTTCACTAATGTGATGAGCACCGACAGTAGTGTGAACGACTAATAACACTAACGACCTGATGTTAGAGATGTTAACAACTCTTATATAATTACGGATTATGAAGGTAATGTTTATGTTGTGTTTTAGCGAGTGGTGGTCAAAACTGTACCTTATGGAGCCGGTCGGCCGAGCGGACAGCACGCTAGATTTGTGAATCTGTGGTCCTGGGTTCGATCCCAGGCGCCGGCGAGAAAAAGTGGGCAGAGTTTCTTTCACCCTATGCCCCTGTTACCTAGCAGTAAAACAGGTACCTGGGTGTTAGTCAGCTCTCACGGGCTGCTTCCTGGGGGTGGAGGCCTGGTCGAGGACCGGGCCGCGGGGACACTAAAAAGCCCCGAAATCATCTCACGATAACCTCTCAAGATATGCTGGGCCAGTAGAAACAAACGTTTAAGAACTTTGTCATAAAATATTCAAATTGGCGTGTGTGAATTGGTTAAGGGATCTTGCCACCGAGGGCAATATTTAATGCTAGATAAATATGAATTTATGATGGGGAGGCTGTGTGTATGGTGATGGGGAGGCTGTGTGTATGGTGATGGGGAGGGGCAGGGAGTGTGTATGGTGATGGGGCAGAGTGTGTATATTGCGTTGGTAATGAGGAAGGGTGAGTATAGTGTTGTGGTGGTGGGGGGGTGTTGGTGGTGGGTGTGTGTGTATAGTGTTGTGGTGGGTGTGTGTGTATGGTGTTGTGGTGGGTGTGTGTGTATGGTGTTGTGGTGGGTGTGTGTATATAGTGTTGTGGTGGGTGTGTGTGTATGGTGTTGTGGTGGGTGTGTGTATATAGTGTTGTGGTGGGTGTGTGTGTATGGTGTTGTGGTGGGTGTGTGTGTATGGTGTTGGTGGTGGGTGTGTGTGTATAGTGTTGTGGTGGGTGTGTGTGTATAGTGTTGTGGTGGGTGTGTGTGTGTATGGTGTTGTGGTGGGTGTGTGTGTATAGTGTTGTGGTGGGTGTGTGTGTATGGTGTTGTGGTGGGTGTGTGTATAGTGTTGTGGTGGGTGTGTGTGTATAGTGTTGTGGTGGGTGTGTGTGTATGGTGTTGTGGTGGGTGTGTGTGTATGGTGTTGTGGTGGGTGTGTGTGTATAGTGTTGTGGTGGGTGTGTGTGTATGGTGTTGTGGTGGGTGTGTGTGTATAGTGTTGTGGTGGGTGTGTGTATATAGTGTTGTGGTGGGTGTGTGTGTATAGTGTTGTGGTGGGTGTGTGTGTATGGTGTTGTGGTGGGTGTGTGTATAGTGTTGTGGTGGGTGTGTGTGTATGGTGTTGTGGTGGGTGTGTATGTATGGTGTTGTGGTGGGTGTGTGTGTATGGTGTTGTGGTGGGTGTGTGTATAGTGTTGTGGTGGGTGTGTGTGTATGGTGTTGTGGTGGGTGTGTGTGTATAGTGTTGTGGTGGGTGTGTGTGTATAGTGTTGTGGTGGGTGTGTGTGTATAGTGTTGTGGTGGGTGTGTGTGTATGGTGTTGGTGGTGGGTGTGTGTATATCATGGTGGTGGTGGGTGTGTGTGTATGGTGTTGTGGTGGGTGTGTGTATATAGTGTTGTGGTGGGTGTGTGTGTATGGTGTTGTGGTGGGTGTGTGTATATAGTGTTGTAATGGGTGTGTGTGTATGGTGTTGGTGGTGGGTGTGTGTGTATAGTGTTGTGGTGGGTGTGTGTATATAGTGTTGTGGTGGGTGTGTGTGTATGGTGTTGTGGTGGGTGGGTGTGTATGGTGTTGTGGTGGGTGTGTGTGTATGGTGTTGTGGTGGGTGTGTGTGTATGGTGTTGTGGTGGGTGTGTGTATATAGTGTTGTGGTGGGTGTGTGTGTGTATGGTGTTGGTGGTGGGTGTGTATGGTGTTGGTGGTGGGTGTGTATGGTGTTGTGGTGGTGGGTGTGTATGGTGTTGTGGTGGGTGTGTGTGTATAGTGTTGTGGTGATGGGGGAAGGGTTCCACTTGTCGACCACTCTTACAAGCTATGAGAATTTCCTTACATTTTTTCAACTGATTTGCGCTTCCAGTTTCTTCCTATTTTCTCTTCTTCTACTTTCTTTCAGTTTAATAAGGCTGCCCTTGTCTATCTTGTCTGTTCCTTACAGTATCTTGTATGCTGCGATTATGTCCTCTGTTCCTTTTTCCTCAAAAGGTTATGAGGTCTAGTTCCTGGAACCTATCATTATATAATAGACCTCTTAGCTCTGACAATAATCTTGTTGCAACAATATGTATTTTTGAAACATGGTGTTATGCTTCACAAGGTGCGGATTCCAGTCCGGTCCTGAATATTCCAATATTCGTCTGACAAAGGCTATATAGTTTGCCTTGAAAGAGTCCTGGTTTAGGTTCATAAAAAATGTTCCAGTGTTTGTCAGCTTCCCATATGCTGCTGATGTTACAATGTCATTGTGTGCCTTCTGAGTGTTGAAACTATATCCTCTCCCTTTTCTCTCTCCGACTCCTGTAGTTGCCTTTCCCTAATGGTGTAGACACATCTTGGTCTCCCTTTCCTATCTTCATTACCTTACACGTTTTGGGGTTGAGCTTCAGCAACCATTTGTTTGCCCACTCTTGGATTTTGTCAACATCATCCTGTAAGTTTCTGCCATCGTCGTTGGTATTTATTTTCTTATTAGCTTTGAGTTGTCTACAAACATTGACATGTACAATCTCGCTCCCTCGAATGGGTCATTCACTTAAAGTAAGAACGGTACAGGCCCGTGGACCGGCCCTTGGTGAACTCCACCTGTAAGAATTCTCCATGTGGAACCCTCTTCTCTGACTGCAGCCCGCGCTGCTAAGGTTTCCCAGCGTCAAGAAAACGGTCAATTTCAAGTGTCCTCTCCTAACCTACCAGAGAACCCAAAACAGAACACGAGACAGTACGTCACTTTCGTGAGCCGCTTCCATTTTCTAGTACGACAATTTTTTGTCTCATGTAACGCATACGAGCGAAAAACGACGTTATTTGTAGGAAGACGGGTTGATAGATGAGTTGGTGCTTAGCTCTTGCTGCAGTGTCGTTCTCTAATTGTCGTCCAGCGCCTCTCCTGACTGCTGTACTCACTTCAGGCTCCCTATAATGTCTCTTGCGACTTCAGTTCCTATATAGTCCTCTGTACTCCCCCCCCCCCATGCTTATCTGCTCCTCTCCAATCCAGCCCTACATCGCCTGTTGACCCCAGCGACGTTGCTAGTCTCGTCCGGCGCCCTCCTGAGTGGCCTGAACTTGCACCTACACATTTATGAGCAATAGTGTTCATCCTTTCGGTTTATGAGGGTGGAGGAGGCGGCGGGGTGGGTAGGGACGCCCTCACATAACCTTCTGACACACTTCTCCTTCCCTCTACCCTCCGCCCACCCCTCCGCCCACCCCTCTTCTCCAGTACCATCCAGCATATAAAAAGGGACATTATTATGCTTCACCTCACCTGTGCAACTGTACATGTCTACCCTTAACGTTATATCTGGGTTACTGACCGACCATTTCGCTACTTCAAGGTTACTAACCGTCCACCATGTTAGCTTGGGGACCATTCAAGGTTATATATATATATATATATATATATATATATATATATATATATATATATATATATATATATATATATATATATATATATATATATATATATATCCTCCTTTCCTTTATATCCTCTTCTCCGAGGCTATGGGTCCCCACATTGGCACCAGAGGTGGTACCCTCACAAACTTTTATATATATATATATTATTAAATATGACCGAAAAAGTAAGATTAATAATTCTAACACGAATTTTCTCTATCTTTCTTATGTTTCTTTTCACTGTTGATGGTAATTCAAAGATCAATTCTCCAAAATTCTTTTTTCTTTCTAGTCTGACGCGACACTTGAGCGCGTTTCGTAAAACTTATTACATTTTCAAAGACTTTAGTTTACAAACACACAACTATAACTGAACAGAGCTTAAACATCTTCGATTTTATACCTGCATTTGGGTGAGGTGATATGTTACAACAGTTTTGGATGAGGTGAAAACAAACTTTCAACACAAGACAGAACACGAAACAATGGGTATAATATTTTGTAAGTTAAAGGGAAGAGTGGAAGTAACTGCAAAGGGCCTATTGGCCCATATTTCTTGATGCTTCTATATTGGTGCGGAGTCTTGAACTGGGTAGAATATAGTTGTGCATTAATTGGCTGTTGATTGCTGGTGTCGACTTCTTAATGTGTAGTGCCTCGCAGATATCTAGCCGCCTGATATCGCTGTATCTATCGATGATTTCCGTGTTTTTTGTTAAGACTTCTCTGGTGATGGTCTGGCTGTGGGAAGAGATTATATGTTCCTTAATGGAGCCCTGTTGCTTATGCATCGTTAATCGCCTGGAAAGAGATGTTGTTGTCTTGCCTATATACTGAATTCTTTGAGGCTTACAGTCCCCAAGTGGGCATTTGAAGGCATAGACGACATTGGTCTCTTTAAAAGCGTTCTGCTTTGTGTCTGGAGAGTTTCTCATGAGTAGGTTGGCCGTTTTCTTGGTTTTATAGTAGATCGTCAATTGTATCTTCTGATTTTTGTCTGTAGGGATAACGTTTCTATTAACAATATCTTTCAGGACCCTTTCCTCCGTTTTATGAGCTGTGGAAAAGAAGTTCCTGTAAAAGAGTCTAATAAGGGGTACAGGTGTTGTGTTAGTTGTCTCTTCAGAGGTTGCATGGCGTTTCACCTTCCTTCTTATGATGTCTTCAACGAAACCATTGGAGAAGCCGTTGTTGACTAGGACCTGCCTTACCCTACTGAGTTCTTCATCGACTTGCTTCCATCCTGAGCTGTGGGTGAGAGCACGGTCGACATAAGCGTTAACAACACTCCTCTTGTACCTGTCTGGACAGTCACTGTTGGCATTGAGGCACATTCCTATGTTTGTTTCCTTAGTGTAGACTGCAGTGTGGAAACCTCCGCTCCTTTCCATGACTGTTACATCTAGAAAGGGCAGCTTCCCATCCTTCTCCATCTCGTAAGTGAAACGCAACACAGAATTCCGCTCAATAATAATAATAATAATAATAATAATAATTTTTATTTAGGTAAGGTACATACATAAAGAGATTTTACAAAGTTTGTTGGGTTAATAGATAGAGCTAGTACATACAATGCCTAAAGCCACTATTACGCAAAGCGTTTCGGGCAGGTCAAATGCCTCCTTCAGCTCAAGTGTCGCGTCAGACTAGAAATAAAAATGAATTTTGGAGAATTGATTTTTCAATTAAAAGAAACATAAGAAATATTGTGAAAATTCGCGTTAGAATTATTAATCTTACTTTTTCGGTCATATTTAACAATATATATATATATATATATATATATATATATATATATATATATATATATATATATATATATATATATATATATATATATATATATATATATATATATATATATATATATATATATATATATATATATATATATATATATATATATATATATATATATATATATATATATATATATATCAGAGACCGGGAGGACAATAAATGTTGGTGTTATGTTGCAGCCATGATGGTGTCGGGCGGTGTACGGGTGGTGGTGGCGGCGGCGGTGCTCCAGGCCGCCGCATCTCAGGTGGCCTTTATTGGCTCATGTCCCGCACAGAACGTCGTCCAGAACTTTGACGTCACCAGTGTAGGTACCCCAGGTGTTGTGTTCCACCCACTGTGCTCCCCACCCACCGTGCTCCCCACCCACCGTGCTCCCCACCCACTGTGTTCCCCACCCACCGTGCTCCCCACCCACTGTGCTCCCCACCCACTATGCTTCCCACCCACTGTGCTCCCCACCCACTGTGTTCCCCACCCACCGTGCTCCCCACCCACTGTGCTCCCCACCCACTGTGCTCCCCACCCACTGTGCTCCCCACCCACCGTGCTCCCCACCCACTATGCTTCCTACCCATTGTGCTCCCCACCCACTGTGCTCCCCACCCACCGTGCTCCCCACCCACTGTGTTCCCCACCCACCGTGCTCCCTACCCACTGTGCTCCCCACCCACTATGCTTCCCACCCACTGTGCTCCCCACCCACTGTGTTCCCCACCCACCGTGCTCCCCACCCACTGTGCTCCCCACCCACTGTGCTCCCCACCCACCGTGCTCCCCACCCATTATGCTTCCTACCCATTGTGCTCCCCACCCACTGTGCTCCCCACCCACCGTGCTCCCCACCCACTGTGTTCCCCACCCACTGTGCTCCCCACCCACTATGCTTCCCACCCACCGTGCTCCCCACCCACTGTGCTCCCCACCCACTGTGTTCCCCACCCACCGTGCTCCCCACCCACTATGCTTCCCACCCACCGTGCTCCCCACCCACTGTGTTCCCCACCCACTGTGCTCCCCACCCACTATGCTTCCCACCCACCGTGCTCCCCACCCACTATGCTTTCTACCCATTGTGCTCCCCACCCACTGTGCTCCCCACCCACTGTGCTCCCCAACCATTGTGCTCCCCACCCACTGTGCTTCCCACCCATTGTGCTTCCCACCCATTGTGCTTCCCACCCACTGTCCTCCCCACCCACTGTCCTCCCCACCCACTGTGCTCCCCACCCACTGTGCTTCCCACCCATTGTGCTTCCCACCCACTGTCCTCCCCACCCACTGTGCTCCCCACCCATCGTGTTCCCCACGCACTGTGCTCCCCCACGCATTGTGCTTCCCACCCACTGTGCTCCCCACCCACTGTGCTTCCCACCCACTATGCTTCCCACCCACTGTGCTCCCCACCCACCGTGTTCCCCACCCACTGTGCTCCCCACCCATTGTGCTTCCCACCCACTGTGCTTCCCACCCACTGTGCTCCGCACCCACTGTGCTCCCCACCCACCGTGCTCCCCACCCACCGTGCTCCCCACCCACTGTGCTCCCCACCCATCGACACCCTCCTACTTTGCCTCTCGGCCATTGATACTCGTCCATTCTCCACGGTACTAGCGGCTCGGAGCTAACGGTTCAGTAACGACTCAATATATATGCAACTTGACACCATTAGGTAATTTGAACTATCATACATCAGGAGCCAGATTCACGAAAGCACTTACGCAAACGCTTACGAACCTGTACATCTTTCCTCAATCTTTAGCGGCTTTGTTTACAATTATTACACAGTTAATGAGCTCCGAAGCACCAGGCGGCTGTTTATAACAATGACAACAGTTGATTGGCAAGTTTTCATGCTTGTAAACTGTTTAATAAATGTAACCAAAGCCGTCAAAGATTGAGGAAAGATGTACACGTTCGTAAGTGCTTGCGTAACTGCTTCGTGAATCTGGCCCCTGGTGTATAGACTTACCATGTTCACTGCATGCCACACAGTACAAGGCAGCGAGCACTTCTCTGGAGTACCTGAGCAAGTTCAGTCTGATAAACAGCCTTTCTCTCCCTTGTTTACAGTACCTTGGCAAGTGGTATGAGCTCGAGAAGTACTTCGCCATTTTCGAGCTTGGTGGCCGTTGCATCACTGCAACTTACTCTGATAAAGGCAACAACAAGATCCGGGTGCTCAACGAACAGATAAGTGTGTTAGTGTTATATTAGTGTCTAACTATGAACAGTTTTAATCCCATTTTACATATATGAGTGGACACAACATGGCCTGTCATATGGACACTCCCACACTGTTGACACTATGTCATAGTGAATCAAGTGAAACACGCTTGATTTATTCCCTTCACTGACACACTATTGACACAAACTATTCCTATACGCTACTGACACTCGCAATATTGACACACTTGCAGCTCATTTTGGAATTATTGGAGTGATAAGGAACAACTAAGAGAAAAATAAAATGGGAAAGTAAAGAGTGGGAAAGGCAGGGACAGGAGGAAAACAATTCCCTTTCCCTCAGGAAAGGGAACACCCAGAGCTATAAGCCAAGCCAAATGAAATACTGTAAGGTCATTGGAGGAACTAAGGAATGCCTATGCCAAAGTAGAATTTAAAGAAAGTAGGGATGCAAAAATGCATAGAGATGTGGAGGAAGGGATAATGCGAAAGAAAGAAGAAGTAAGACCATGTAAGTTCTAAAAATTCAGATCAGAGATGCAATGATGGAATTATAACATTAGTGTAAGCAAGGTCTATTTTAGTATGAAAAAAGTAGGCAAGTGAAGGTAATCTTTAGGAACGTAGTCATATTATCACTGTTAGGCTATGTCCTTTATTAAGTAGGTATGGTTTTTACCTAATCCCCAATCCTTCCATAATCTATGCTACTTAATATTTTATGATTATATTGCTGGACATTCACGTTTGTCAGTCTATGTTATATATACATTTGTTAAATTTTCAAAAGGATTTTTGTTAAACATGGGAGTTAATGCATTTTCAGAGGATTTTGTTAAAGATTGTTATTTTGTCCATTTTATAGGAATATTTGTTAAAGATAGTTATTTAAGCACTTTGTGCATTTTTACTTAAAGTTCATCAAGTCTTATAATAAATTGTATAATCTCTCAAACATTTTATTAGTATTGGATGAACAGATTTTATTTAATACTCATTACCCATTCTGTAAACAATATGTCCTTCTAATGTTTAATTTTTAGGATTTACATTGAATTATCCTCCACAGTGGCAGGGTGTATGTGGTTGGAGACTGGGTGGGTGTATGTGGTTGGAGACTGGGTGGGTGTATGTGGTTGGAGACTGGGTGGGTGTATGTGGTTGGAGACTGGGTGGGTGTATGTGGTTGGAGACTGGGTGGGTGTATGTGGTTGGAGACTGGGTGGGTGTATGTGGTTGGAGACTGGGTGGGTGTATGTGGTTGGAGACTGGGTGGGTGTATGTGGTTGGAGACTGGGTGGGTGTATGTGGTTGGAGACTGGGTGGGTGTATGTGGTTGGAGACTGGGTGGGTGTATGTGGTTGGAGACTGGGTGGGTGTATGTGGTTGGAGACTGGGTGGGTGTATGTGGTTGGAGACTGGGTGGGTGTATGTGGTTGGAGACTGGGTGGGTGTATGTGGTTGGAGACTGGGTGGGTGTATGTGGTTGGAGACTGGGTGGGTGTATGTGGTTGGAGACTGGGTGGGTGTATGTGGTTGGAGACTGGGTGGGTGTATGTGGTTGGAGACTGGCAGGGTGTATGTGGGAGAGATGGGAGAGGATGTGTTTGGGGAAAATGGTTAGGTTGCTTGTGAAGGGAGATAGGATGGGTTGGATGTGTGTGTGAGGAGGGAAGATGAGGTGGGTTATGTGTAGGGAAAGAAAGGGAGTGTATGAGGGGGAGACAAGGAGGGTGTGAGACAGTATGATTTTGTTATCCTGTCAATTACTTATGTGTAACAATGGCGTGTTTCAGGTTTGGCAACATTCCCAACAATATTGTGGGCACGGCGCAGTTTGTGAACCTCCAGAGCGGTGAGGCCAAGCTGTCTGTGTCTTTCGACAACTTCTTGTGTGAGTAACATATTCCCACTCTCACTGTGTGACCTTGTCACCCAGCCCTCCATCACTGTGTGACCTTGTCACCCAGCCCTCCATCACTGTGTGACCTTGTCACCCAGCCCTCCATCACTGTGTGACCTTGTCACCCAGCCCTCCATCACTGTGTGACCTTGTCACCCAGCCCTCCATCACTGTGTGACCTTGTCACCCAGCCCTCCATCACTGTATGACCTTGTCACCCAGCCCTCCATCACTGTGTGACCTTGTCACCCAGCCCTCCATCACTGTGTGACCTTGTCACCCAGCCCTCTATCACTGCTTGAGGTTCTCACTGTCACTGTCACCCAGCACTCCTCGGATTTTTACTTTTAATTCATATTTATTTTTAGTCTTTTTTATGCCATTAATTCCAGGTCTTCATATCGTGAAAATTTCGATATATTTTCCCTCCACACGCATCTTAATTAAATTTAGCATTTTTATACACATAAAAATCCACAACCAAATTAATGCTCAAATTAATGTGTTCTTTTATTATATTTTCAACACGTGTAATCAAAGAAATTATAGATTTTGACACAATGTAAAGGTTATCATGCGATACAAAAAATGTAAGTATCTTATTTGGCAACGTTTGTCGTCTTTGGTTAATTTTGACTGTTGACTGACTTCGACTTGACTGACTGTCACTGCAAGTGTGACGTCGACCCAAGTCACACTTGCAGTGTTCCTTTGGAGCACTGGAACTCCCAGTAGCACTCCTAGCTCCTGCTGACCCGTGAAGTGCTACGTAAGGTGCATTCAGCTAACGCATTCATTCAACATTATCATCAACAATTAAGGCAATTGTGAGAAATTATAACCTGTACTGATATATCCCTGCCATATTATTTTGTATTCTTGTACTATTATATACCTGTACTATTATATACCTGTACTATTATATACCTATACTATTATATACCTGTACTATTATATACCTGTACTATTATATACCTGTACTATTATACAAGTACAGTATATAATAGTACAGGTATACCTGTACTATTATACAGATATATAATAGTACAGGTATACCTGTACTATTATATACCTGTACTATTATATACCTGTACTATTATACAAGTACAGTATATAATAGTACAGGTATACCTGTACTATTATACAGATATATAATAGTACAGGTATACCTGTACTATTATATACCCCCCAACCAGAGCGCAACTCCATAGTCTCCTGAGGCTGATGGATGCCTACTACTACTATTATGTACCTGTACTATTATATACCTGTACCACTATGTACCTGAAGTACTACATATGTATACTGTTGTAAACATGTACTGTGATACACAGGGGCCGGCATGGGTCCTGTAGGAGGTGCGGGCAATTACTGGGTGTTGGAGACCGACTACCAGAACTACTCCGTCGTGTGGTCCTGTCAAGATTTGGTCGCAGTGAATAAACGTGAGTGTACATTCACCTCACCATACATGTGCATGAAACGCAGCGCGTATGTCAGTGTGTATATATACGCTCCTGTGCCAGGTAAGTCCACTACGGGCTCACCATAGTCCGTGCTACCTGGACTTTTTGGTTCCCAGTAGCTGAATCTATAACAACAACAACGTCAGTGCTTATATCAGTCTCTAGCTATACAAAAGTTGACCTCATGGACAAAGGTAAGATTTAAAGTCATTGAAAAGCAGAAAATTGTGTTGCTTTTCTTGGGTTTAACAGATTTGAAAACCCAACGCCTGCCATCCAGGGGTTGAATAAGCCCTACATACCCTATATATGGGCCTATACAGAATGCTGAAATTGGTTAATTATGACGCATTCGTGCTTGGGAGTACCAAGTGCATGGGTTCGAATCCTCCTCCGGCTCTTACTGATTTTCTCATTGATACATCACTTTAATGTGATTTAATTATGAATTTGAAGAGAAACGTTGGAGGTTGAACTGCTGTGATTTTATTGTGCATATATATACATATATATATGGAAATAATAACCCACTATTTTGAAGCCACAAGGAAATGTAGACTAAATATTTCGAGCCCAAATCAGGATCCTCTTCAGTGAGAAGAAAGAATGAAACACCTTATGGGTGTTCCACAGGGCAGCATACTTGTTCCTCTCCTCTTTCTCATTGACATCAGTGACCTTCCTAATTCTTCTCAACAACTCAAACCAATTCTGTTTGGTGATGACACAACCTTGATTTTCTCCAGTCCTAGTTCTCTTATTCTGAATGACACAGTGAATACTGAACTAAATAAAGTACATATTTGGCTAACTGCTAACAAACTCACCCTTAACATTGATAAAACCTTCTATATTTTGTTTGGTAATAAATGCACTGATCAAATTATCATTAGAATTAACAATATTTAAATTAGTGTCTGTTACGGCCCTATTGGGTCGCAACTGGGTTCTTCTCTGATGTTATTAGAGTTTGGGTATCCGGCCCCAAGTTAGTAGTGGCTTTCAAGGGGGTGTGTTCTGTAACGCAAGTTAAATTAAAGGGAAAGGGATACCAATGCACTGCTTTGCATATATATTGCTACCACCACCATAAATATATCACAGTCACACGCGGGGTTGCTATAACTACACTTATTATATACAAATTAGTCTTCCTCTGAAGACACAGGATGCTCCACGGTGCTCAAGATGAGTAGCCCTGGTTCTCTTCTTCGTGGCCCACGATGAATCTTCTGATCCTCTCGGCGAATCTACCCTGGCCACAGGCCAGCCAAATCACAGTCCCACTGGGTGCACCGTCGTGGAGGCCTTCAACCACAAATCTAGCCTGTAGCTGGCAGGTTCCGATCAGCTCTGCTGTGTAGGCCACTCCACGACCGATACTAGGGTTGCGAGCCCTAGGCAGGAGCCTCGTGTGATTCCGCAGATCACTCTCCTCTCTCCGCACCACAGTGGCTAGTCTCTTCCATCAGCCAGCCCCCAGATAAGACAATTCCTGGTACTGCCACGTCACAGGCAGGCTAACACACTCAACAGTGTTCGTCCGGGGTAGACTCATAGCTTCTGCAGCAAACACGTGGAGAGACTTTGGCTGCCTTGGGTAGACTGATCCATTGTCCAATACAGCAGTCCCAGGTCGACTCTGTAATCAGACACGTCATTAGTACTAGGGACACTCTAGGGCACCTCACTTACAGGCTTAGACACAAACGTCCACCTATCCACTCCATAGATGGCGTTGCTGTCTAAGCGCCACCTCACCAGAGGTCAGCAGCGGCTACATTACGAGCTGATTAAGACGGGAAACCAGCCCCTGTGGCCGGTATATTCCGTCCTCGCTAGATGGCGCTGTCCCTTTGGAGGGGGTTTCGGGAGCAGACTCACAGATGGCGATGTCGTCACTGCTCCGTGCTCGGACGCTGGACTCGGGTCCGTAACAGTATCAAAGCAGATGATAAATTCCTTGGTGTTCTCATTGACATGAAGTTGAATTTTCAGTGCCATATTCAAAATATAGCTAAACAAATTCTAAAACAGTTGGCATTCTTTCTAAAATTAGATATTATGTACCTTGCCCTACTCTGGTAACGCTTTATTACTCTCTCGCATATGGCATCTGTGCTTGAGGTTCTACTATCCAAAATTATCTGGGGGTGTGGGTGTCTCTACCCTCCCTGCTGTTCCTGGTGGTGTGGACGTGGCACTTTTGCGATGGGCGGCCATCTTCCCCCTGTCGTGAGAGTCCATTCCATAGAATTGGAGTTTACTGGCCGTGCGGGTTACCAGCTCATGTATTTGGTCTTGAGTGATGTTAAAAATGGGAGTCTGTACTATGGGGGATCTAGTACAAATGTATGTAAGGACAGTAGTTAGCATTAAGAATTATCAAATATGGGAGATCTAAAAGGCCCGGCCCCCAAGTAAAATATTCACAGTGAATATTAATTGGCTACACAATGTCAGTCTAGAGGTTGATCATAGATCTCCTACACAGGAAGAATGGATACTCCTTTGCTAACTTACTTATTTATTAACCCCTTAACAACCCCCATATACATTCACACCAATAACAATAATAATAATAATTACTTTACCACACTATCTTACGTTAAAAGCCTTGGTCCACATAAGCAGGATACAAGGTTTACACTGAGAACAAGCTAGGGTAAAGTACTACTAGTGAAGCACTTGAAGCTTGGGCAGCTTAGGGGGTAGTGAGCCCACGTGGTACCTTAACACAACACAACACTAATGGGTACCCAAAACTGGCAAATACTACCCCAAGGTCTCCCCCAATCTTACAAACCCAGAGTAGGCACACTTAAAAAACACAGGACTTAACTTAATGGTACAGGAACTTAAGGTAAGGGAAATAAGTAAGAGGAAGGGTAGAGGAGTGCAGAGCAGCTCAGAAAAGTCTTGATCCCCACGAACGCCAGTCACAGAAGAGACAGCATCTCCACTCTCCTCCCTCAGTTCACTCGCTGCCAGCAGACTACTCAACTAATCGTACAGCATTCCTATCCCAAGTTTACTCAGGTTTACTTTACAAATGATTAGAAAGTATTAGTAAACATAGTTGGTGCCTATTTTATTATTTAATAATCAACCCCAAGCTCAGTCTTTAACTGCTCTTTGAGAAACAAGAATAGTCTTACGTCTGGCAGGGAAGATACAAACAAATGCATCTCGCCATGCATCCCTCTACTAAAAGGCAGTTTATTTAGCTCAATTTTGACCTCTGGTTTCCACTGAGGAACCCAGGGTCGTAACAAGCGACATGCTCAAGGTCCCGGTCATGGATGTGTACGGTGTCGAGCTGGTCACTGCTCACCATGTGATTATCAAGTTTGTGGGTGAGGCAGTGTACCGTGACTTTCTCCAACGGTACGAGGGGCGTACTTTGCAGCTGCAGGACGGCAACGGGTCTGTGGCCATTTCGGACCGAAGTGGTGCTGTGACATATGTGAGTGCCCATGGCGCCCCCATGGAGTTTTCTGAGATCCTCCTCCGGCGTTTCTTCCAGAGGTATGGCCCCGTTGTCAGTGTGCGGATGATCTCGCTGTCTTCTGGGAAATATTCGAGTGTGAAGACCAACGTTCATACCCTCGGGATGCGACTGAGGTCGGACGTTCCATCCTCTGTCTGGCTTTTAGGGTACTACATGCAGGTGTTTTATGCCCGACAACCACACCGGAAACAAGTACTTGTTTCCGGTGTGGCATGTTGGGGCATCAGGCTGCCGGGTGCACTGCTGATCCGGTTGCTCCAGTAAATTTGTTCCGTGAAGAGGATTTCCCGCCGCTCCCTCTGGAGGAGGACTCCGGGGGTGAGGAGGTGAATGTCCCGTTAGCTGATGAGGCTCCCCGAGCATCGCCCGTCGTTCCCCCAGTTGTCGCAGACCCTCCTCCGGATGTTGCGGTGCCGTCGGATGATTCCCCTGCTCCTGTCATTGGCCCTGTTGCTCCCATGCGCCTTCCTGGTGTTCCCTGTGAGGCGTCGCTGACTTCTCACTCGTCTTCGTGTGGCCTGGTTCCCCCTGTAGTAGAGGCTGCTGCCGTTCTGCGTCGGGCACCTGTTCGTTCGGCTGGTGGTGCCCATGTTTCTGGGTCTGCTTCCGGCTCTGACGATCTCCGGCCGATGCCCAAACGTTCCAGGCGTTCGTCGCCTGCCTGGGCCGAGGTTGGGGAATTCAGTGACTGTGGGTCTTCGGGTGTCGATGGTGTGGACAAGGATGCGTCGTTGGCTCTGCGGTTAGTGGAAGTGGAGGTACATGTGCCTGCTGGTGATGGTGACCGTGTCACGGGTGTGCCTTCTGTTCCCTCTCCACCAGGAGCCTCTCTGCGGTGGGGTGTGGTGGCTTCTGCTGCCATGGATGGTGGGGATACTGGTGATGGGCGTGGCCTGGTGGTGACCTTAAGGAAGGATGCGCGCCGATCGGGTTCCCGGCGGTCGTCCAGTAGTGGATCCGTGGACGTTGGTGACCCTGTAGTGGTACCCTCTGTCCGGGTCCCTCCTATGGGGGTGTGCATTGGAGGTCTGGAGGACGTGTTGCCGGCGTCCGTGATGCCGCTGGGTCACTGGTCACGGATTGCAGAGTTAATGCTCTTCAAGGACCCCGAGGGACTTTCATGATGGGGCGAGTCCCATGGTGTGGGTGCGTGTGACGATCACTCGCGTCAGGAGTGATATCGTCTGGGTCCCGTGTTTACAGGTGTTTGTTGCCCAGGTGCCAGATGAAATGGCGTCCACGGTGGATGGTTCAGGCCCATGGCGGTGGTTGCTTTGGGAAGCGTTTAATGTACGGTTCCCTCGGGACATGTTTCCGGGCAAGTATGTTCACTGATTTCCTATTTCTGTGCTTACTTTTGTACTGTATGCCCTTCTGGCTTTTGATTGCCCTCTTGTAGTTTGTGCCCGTGCCTCTCCCCTTGTTTGGGGCGAGGCAGGTGGTTGGTGGTTTGGTGTGAGTGTTTTTATTCATGTGTTTGTTGTTGTGTTATTATTTTGCACTGTGTTCTATTTATGCTTCACGTGTTGTGCTTGTTTGTTGTCTGCTGTGCTTTTTTGTTGTATTTCATGCTGTTCATGCTGATGTACTTTGTTTGTCGGTCCTTCAGGCCGGTGATTTTGTTTTTGTTCTATAATATTATGATGTTTTATACTGTTACTCTGTTTTATTGTTTTGCTTGCTTTGTTTGCCTGTTTCTATTTGTTTTTTTGTTTTGTTTCTTGATGTGTGTTTTCCATGTATACCTTGTTGCCTTCACATGTTTTGTGTCTTGATGTGTGTTTTCCATGTATACCTTGTTGCCTTCTCATGTTTTGTGTCTTGATGTGTGTTTTCCATGTATACCTTGTTGCCTTCTCATGTTTTGTGTCTTGATGTGTGTTTTCCATGTATACCTTGTTGCCTTCTCATGTTTTGTGTCTTGATGTGTGTTTTCCATGTATACCTTGTTGCCTTCTCATGTTTTGTGTCTTGATGTGTGTTTTCCATGTATACCTTGTTGCCTTCTCATGTTTTGTGTCTTGATGTGTGTTTTCCATGTATACCTTGTTGCCTTCTCATGTTTTGTGTCTTGATGTGTGTTTTCCATGTATACCTTGTTGCCTTCTCATGTTTTGTAAATTGTTGTACTGGGCCGTCGGTCCTTCTGGCCGGCGGTTTCTTGTTTTGTTTTGTTATATTTCGCTTGTTTTATTGTATTTATTGTATTTCCCTTGCATGCTTGCATGTAAAAAAAAAAAAGTAATGGTACACCTTCAAATCGAAGGTTATCATGCATCACTAAGAATGTAGTAGTTATCATACATCACTAAGAATGTAGTAGTTATCATACATCACTAAGAATGTAGTGGTTATCATACATCACTAAGAATGTAGTAGTTATCATGCATCACTAAGAATGTAATGGTTTTCATGAATCACTAAAAATTTAATGGTTATCATGCATCACTAAGAATGTAGTAGTTATCATGCATCACTAAGAATGTAGTGGTTATCATGCATCACTAAGAATGTAGTAGTTATCATGCATCACTAAGAATGTAGTGGCTATCATGCATCACTAAGAATGTAGTGGTTATCATGCATCACTAAGAATGTAGTGGTTATCATGCATCACTAAGAATGTAGTGGTTATCATGCATCACTAAGAATGTAGTGGTTATCATGCATCACTAAGAATGTAGTGGTTATCATGCATCACTAAGAATGTAGTGGTTATCATGCATCACTAAGAATGTAGTGGTTATCATGCATCACTAAGAATGTAGTGGTTATCATGCATCACTAAGAATGTAGTGGTTATCATGCATCACTAAGAATGTAGTGGTTATCATGCATCACTAAGAATGTAGTGGTTATCATGAATCACTAAGAATGTAGTGGCTATCATGCATCACTAAGAATGTAGTGGTTATCATGCATCACTAAGAATGTAGTGGTTATCATGCATCACTAAGATTGTAGTGGTTATCATGCATCACTAAGAATGTAGTAGTTATCATGCATTGCTAAAACTTTAATGGTTACCATGCATCACTAAGAATGTAGTTGTTATCATGCATCACTAAGAATGTAGTGGTTATCATGCATCACTAAGATTGTAGTGGTTACCATGCATCACTAAGAATGTAGTGGTTATCATGCATCACTAAGAATGTAGTGGTTACCATGCATCACTAAGAATGTAGTGGTTATCATGCATCACTAAGAATGTAGTGGTTATCATGCATCACTAACAATGTAGTGGTTATCATGCATCACTAAGAATGTAGTGGCTATCATGCATCACTAAGAATGTAGTGGTTATCATGCATCACTAAGAATGTAGTGGCTATCATGCATCACTAAGAATGTAGTGGTTATCATGCATCACTAAGAATGTAGTGGTTATCATGCATCACTAAGAATGTAGTGGTTATCATGCATCACTAAGAATGTAGTGGTTATCATGCATCACTAAGAATGTAGTGGCTATCATGCATCACTAAGAATGTAGTGGTTATCATGCATCACTAAGAATGTAGTGGTTATCATGCATCACTAAGAATGTAGTGGTTATCATGCATTACTAAGATTGTAGTGGTTATCATGCATCACTAAGAATGTAGTGGTTATCATGCATTGCTAAAACTTTAATGGTTACCATGCATCACTGAGAATGTAGTGGTTATCATGCATCACTAAGAATGTAGTGGTTATCATGCATCACTAAGAATGTAGTGGTTACCATGCATCACTAAGAATGTAGTGGTTATCATGCATCACTAAGAATGTAGTGGCTATCATGCATCACTAAGAATGTAGTGGTTATCATGCATCACTAAGAATGTAGTGGTTATCATGCATCACTAAGAATGTAGTGGTTATCATGCATCACTAAGATTGTAGTGGTTATCATGCATCACTAAGAATGTAGTAGTTATCATGCATTGCTAAAACTTTAATGGTTACCATGCATCACTAAGAATGTAGTTGTTATCATGCATCACTAAGAATGTAGTGGTTATCATGCATCACTAAGATTGTAGTGGTTACCATGCATCACTAAGAATGTAGTGGCTATCATGCATCACTAAGAATGTAGTGGTTATCATGCATCACTAAGAATGTAGTGGCTATCATGCATCACTAAGAATGTAGTGGCTATCATGCATCACTAAGAATGTAGTGGTTACCATGCATCACTAAGAATGTAGTGGCTATCATGCATCACTAAGAATGTAGTGGCTATCATGCATCACTAAGAATGTAGTGGCTATCATGCATCACTAAGAATGTAGTGGTTATCATGCATCACTAAGAATGTAGTGGCTATCATGCATTGCTAAAACTTTAATGGTTACCATGCATCACTAAGAATGTTTTGGTTTCAGAGATCCTGTGGATACTGTGGAGGACGCCCAAGCCAGACCCCCAGCTGCTGTATTATGTGAAGAACCTCATCCGGGCGCGCGGCCTCTCTCTCTCCAAGCTGGAGCCAACTGATCAGACCAACTGCCCCTAAAGTGTCACAACATAATAAACTGCAGGAAGCCAATAGACCATGCGAAACGTCATTTATTTATTTCCAACTCAAGTCACTTATACGTCAAACTGTCCTCGAATCAAGTTCATTACATCCAGCGGTCGACCCCACAGACGCATTCATACATTTTAACATGCGGTTCATTGAAAATGGGAATTTTCTCAAATATAAGTTAATATTATAATATATTATAATATTGTGCATTATCAGGGGGGGGGGGAGTTATACAATGAAACTTGGTTATGTGAACCAACCTGATGCTGGCTTACCGTCAAACAGACACACTCCCCCAACCACTCCCTGATAGAACCAACAGCCGACCTCGGCAGCCACACTCCCGCTACCGTCGGTCGACCAGCAAGGGACACTGGAGTGCATGAAATTATTTGGGAGATCACCCAGGTAAGCGTCTGGTTCTGGGAGAGGGGTTCAGAGTCACCATTATTCAGGGGTGCGGCTCACACTGCCTAGTTGTCATGAGTACACACCCGCTCTAGAGCCACTATAGAGCGGCACTCGGATAGTAATCTTGGGCATAGCATTTTATAATTTTGTGTTCCTCACGTGTGCCCCAAAGAATGAGGTGATTTGATAAAATGCTATGCCCAAGATTACTATCCGAGTGCCGGCGGGGAAGTGGCTCAAATAGCTTCGGCTATCACTTCCTTATGTCCGGTCGTGATGGTCAAGCGGATTAAGGCGTCCTGTAGTTACCAGTTGCGTTGCTCCTGGGAGTATGGGTTCGAGTCACTTCTGGGGTGTGAGTTTTCAGTCGCATATAGTCCTGGGGCCCATTCAGGCTTATTCGTATTTGTGTTCCTCACGTGTGCCCCAAAGAATGAGGTGATTCGATAAAATGCTATGCCCAAGATTACTATCCGAGTGCCGGCGGGGAAGTGGCTCAAATAGCTTCGGCTATCACTTCCTTATGTCCGGTCATGATGGTCAAGCGGATTAAGGCGTCCTGTAGTTACCAATTGCGTTGCTCCTGGGAGTATGGGTTCGAGTCACTTCTGGGGTGTGAGTTTTCAGTCACATATAGTCCTGGGGCCCATTCAGGCTTATTCGCATTTGTGTTCCTCACGTGTGCCCCAAAGAATGAGGTGATTTGATAAAATGCTATGCCCAAGATTACTATCCGAGTGCCGGCGGGGAAGTGGCTCAAATAGCTTCGGCTATCACTTCCTTATGTCCGGTCGTGATGGTCAAGCGGATTAAGGCGTCCTGTAGTTACCATTTGCGTTGCTCCTGGGAGTATGGGTTCGAGTCACTTCTGGGGTGTGAGTTTTCAGTCGCATATAGTCCTGGGGCCCATTCAGGCTTATTCGCACATATATATATATATATATATATATATATATATATATGTGCGAATATATATATATATATATATATATATATATATATATATATATATATATATATATATATATATATATATATATATATATATACAAGAATAGCGATATTACTATAGAACTCCTTAGGCTGCTACCTACTGATAACACTCCAATATTCCCCTAAGTCTTCATCCTATATCGGTACTAGGTTGCTGCCCATTCCTCAACTGACAACCTTCTGCATCCTTCACTGCTTTGGGCTGAAATACAGGGTACAAAAATATTCATATACCCCCAACTGTAAAACAAACATCAACCTCTCACCTTGCACTGCGGCAGAATTCGTAGCTCGAGGGTATTCAACTCCGGCCCTCCAGGATGGCGTCCTCTAAGACGGTCAACCAAGCTTCTTTAAGACTGCCTTACAGCTCTTCTGCTCCTGACTTGAGTACACGGAGTCGTCCAGCAGGCTCCACAGCAGAAACGCCTGCTTGCTTCCTTCCTCTTGAAGAAGCAACACAATTAGAGTTCCACAAAGGCGCGACTGACATACACTTCCAGGCAGCCTCTAATTATCAAACTCACAGAGAAATGATGTACTAAGTCCCCAACGGCTTCCTCACACTTGCAAACAAGTAACCTTCACTCCAGCACTGACATAGGGAACTATATTCTACCTCCTTCCAGGAAATCAACAAAGTACATCCATCTCTGAAGACTGCTGTAGCTCGAGTGAGGTCACGACGTCCTACTAGCGTCACGTCATATCTCCAAAGTATCGACATCTCATTTCATGTCACTTATTTAAATGCTCATCCGCTGCTCATATTTTTAAATTATTCACTGACGTTTATTATATATTTAATATATACATTTTTCCTCTGACCTCTCAATCAGGTCCGGAAGGCAGAATAACTCTCCTAAGGTAGACTCTCTTTCCACCCCGGCTACATGGGGTCATAACAGCATATATAGGCATAGATATTATGATTTCTGTGTGTAGTGCATTGTATAGCCATAGGTTAGGTTAGGTGTTTAGGTTCTGTTGGCGATTATTTGTATTTGTAGTACGTGGGTGAAGCATTTATAGCATTGTGGTTCAAACAAACTTCGTCAGTGAAGCACTTGTTTCGGAAGTGTTCGAACATCATCAGTTGTAAGTCGTGTGTTAACAGTTTTTCGTTCATAAACAGGGGGTTTGTCAGGTACATGGAATCACTTTTGGGTCTTTCTTTGGAGAATGGGCCGCGCAGTGGTAGAGCACTCACCTGGCGCTCCATGAGTGCTTTGGCCTAGGTTCGTATCCTGGCCGGAGAGGATTGACTGGGCTCCAATCCTTAACTGTAGCCTCTGTTCACCCAGCAGTGAATGGGTACTTGGTAGTTAAAAGATTTGGGAGGTCCGACTAGAGACTTGGCAGAACTAGAGACTCCTGTGGGAAGTATATCTTTGCCAGTTTCAGAGTCAAGGGTGCCGAGACTGTCCTGACTGTAGGAGCAGTCTACAGAATTCCTAACATTGATGTGTCTGAATTCAATTCTAACCTTAGACATATAAAACTAGCAGACTGAACAAAAACCATCTAATAATTTCGGGGGACTTTAATATTAACCTCTACGAGCCTGATAACCCTCCTTGCTACTAGTTTTCTCAACTGTATGAGTCCCTGCTTCCTCATACCCTTAATCACTAAGCCTACTAGAATCACTGATGCGACTGCCTCTGCTCGTGACCACATCTGGACTAACATAACCTCTCCACTTACTTCAGGAATAATCATTGATAGACCACAGACCATTACCCCACATTTCTTCTAACCAACATTAATAAATCACCTCTAGATACAATGAAGATAAGCTTAAGGCTGCACAATGAAACTTCTATAAGCAATTTTATTGCTGCTGCTGCTGCTGCTGCTGCTGCTGCTGCTGCTGCTGCTGCTGCTGCTGCTGCTGCTGCTGCTGCTGCTGCTGCTGCTGCTAATATCAACTGGGGGACTGAATTGGGTAACTTAGTGACCATCAACCTTGCAGTGTAAACTTTTCTTCAGAAGACTCTGAGCCTCTATAACATCTACTGTCCTATGCTAACTAAACAAGACAAAACTAAAAGATTAAACAATCCATGGCTTACAAAGGGTATACTTAAATCTATTAATAAAAAACATGACCTCGAGAAGAAGTATAAGTTAGGACTCGTCTCCAGAGAATTTTCAAAGATTTACTCATCAATGCTGTCTAAAAATATTAGGAGAGCCAAAATAAAATACTACGAAAATAAATTTACCCAAATTAAGTGCAACAGTAAGAAAACATTGAGCACTATTTCCCAAATATTGGGATAAAAAAATTTTTGAATAAAAAACAAATACTCCTATCCAGTGACAATGGTGTGCTCTCAGCCTCTGACACTGCTATTGAATTCAATAAGTTCTTCTCATCCATTGGAACATCCCTTGCTAATGATATTCCATCCTCCCTAACTAATGTTAAGGACTACCTTACAGGTAACTATCCAGAGTCTCTGTACCTAACTCCCGCCAATTCCACTGATGTTAATGAGATAATCCTTTCCCCTTAAAACACAGTCTAGTGCCCTTGCTGAGATACCAACTCTAATTTACAAAAAAGTCTCCAGATCTTTAGCCCCTGCTATTGTATTGCTCTACAACAAATCACTTGAACTCCAAACCTTTGTGGATATTCTAAAAAAAAAAGCGAGAGTAACCCCAGTCCACAAATGTGGTGATCTCACTGCTGTCAACAATTTCAGACCTATATCAATTCTGCCAACCTTGTCAAAAATATTTGAAAAACTAATCTACAAGCAGCTTTACTCTTATCTAGCCAAACACAATATACTTTGCTCTTGTCAATATGGCTTCAGACCCAAAAAAGCACTACCGATGCACTAATTAGTATGATTAACTAGATACATACAGCTCTTGATAAAAATGAGTTCCCTGTTGGGTTATTTGTGGACCTGCGTAATAAATAAATAAATGTTTATTCAGGTAAGGTACATACATACAAGAGGTTTTACAAAAATTGATAGATTTATAGATAGAGCTAGTACATACAATGCCTAAAGCCACTATTACGCAAAGCGTTTCGGGCAGGAAAAACATTAAAGACTAAAACTTAATACTAATTGAGATTAAAGTATAAAATGTGTTGAGAACAATTAAAAATAAAAATAAAAAAGGGGGGAACATGGCAGAAAAAGCAGCACAAATACAATTAGGTCGACAAACAGCGTTGTTTAAAAAAAACCGACATGGGTTGACAATATAGGGGTAAGGTAGGTTACAGGGAATTTATTAGGTAGTGCTTAGTTTTTATCTTTTAGTAAGGCTTTTGACACTGTCAACCACCAAAACCTTCTTCTTAAATTAGATCATTATGGAGTCAGAGGTCACTCTCTCCAATATCTTCAGTCTTACCTTACTGACAGGCTGCAGTATGCTTCTGTTAATAATTCCATTTCTCCCACCCTACCCATCAACACTGGTGTTCCACAGGGCAGCATACTTGGCTCTCTCCTCTTTCTCATCTACATTAATGACCTTCCAAATGCCTCTCAACACCTCAAACCAATTCTATTTGCTGACGACACGACCTTCATTTACTCCAGTCCTGACCCCCTTGCTATAAATGCCACAGTAAATACTGAGCTAAATAA